AGGAGAGGCTTCTTCCTAAATGAAGCGTCTCGTTGTTCACCTCTCATACAGCTTCCTCGAACTCCTCAATTTAGCGACAAATCAAAGAGTATTCAAAGCTGTAGTCAGGCGTCAAAATCATCTTGCCATACTTTGAAACCCATAGAAAATAACACTTTAATCTTGTGGTAAACAGCAAACGTTCCTCTTCCTGTCCATTACAATCGGTATTTTCATGAAAGAAAATCATGCATTTTAATTAAAAGCAAATAGAAAGAAGTAATTGATGAAAAACCCTCACTAGTGAGTGTTCAATCGCAATTTTTTCTAGAATCAATGAAAATTCAGAAAGGGGTTTCACCAATTCACCGTTAAAATACAATGAATATAGCAGAAAAAGGGAAAGTGTGTGGTGAGTCAGGTCTGATAACCTTTGTTGGTGCGCGCCTGAATTAAAAAGGAAATGGACAGCTGCGGTCACTGTGCAGGCACCTGAACGAGGTTCGTGACTGTTTCGCTCCAAGAGCTGCAGCAAGCCATATGAAAGAACGATTTCTCTTTATCTTAGACCCTGGCCGGCTCGTCCTTCCTGTTTGCGAACCGCAACGGCGTAGGCTAGCTTCCTTCTATCCCTTTCTCAACTTCCACCTCTTCGTAAACAATAGGAAAGACGGCCACTATGAAGAATTAAGACTAACGGCAATTTTCATCATTAAGTTTATTTAAACAAGATCGATTTTAAGGAAATTATGACCATAGAGCCTTGTTTAAAACAATTGTGGGTACATGAAGTCAGACATAAAGCAGATATTTTTAGCCGTTTGATCTAATTTTCGTATATAGAGTTTTATGAAAGTCTGTTTCACGGACGGCATTAAAGCATGAAAGAGAAACAAATTCAAGATAAGTAGCTATAGAAGGAGTTAACATAATAGGCAAAATTAGAGTAATACTTTAAAAACGAAATGGGTATAAAAACCGAAATTATTTTAATGGAAAAATATACAGATTAAGATTATTTCTCATCTATTTCATTATGTAACTGTACTAAAATATTACGAAATAGTACAAAGTCTAATATATTTATTTGCAATACTTTATAGACTTTAACACACCTCAACCAGTAGTATCTCTCATTGATCACTCAATGGCAGTTTCAGTATGCACGATTTGCTTCTTAGATACCGTTCATGTGCAGCAGTACTGGAACAAGTCAATAAATGTAGTTTTGAGATAAACGTGTTGAACGTTTAATGCAGGATTTGAAATACAGGTAACACTAGCAGGATATGAAATACAGGTAATAGCACCGACAATGGTCAATTCTCTTACATGCCGAAATGTGTTCCTAATGGTTTTGGAGATGACACATTCAAATCTAAAATTAGAAATTTTCTACAACGCATTTTTTTTCAAAAAAAATGTCTAATTTATCGGCATTTTTATTTTTACGTATATATACGTACGTATGGAGCAATATACATCGTACAGAGAAAGTCATGTAATGCTGCAGAAAATCAATACCGAGATTTTAGCGAAAATACATCTTATCTTTTATTATAACCCCGCAAATCTTTTCAAATATCTACGAATATCTCCTTCCCACTGTGAACATTACTATCGTTGAAATCATTCGTAGGATTTTTTCCAAAATGAATGTTCGTTGATCGATATGGCGAGAGGTGAGGCCTTGCGAATTTGATTTAAAATGTTGGAGGTACTCCACAAGATGCTCATGGAACACTTCCAAAATGTTCTTAAAAATGGTTACAAAATTCTGTAAATTGTTTGATCTTTACTACTGAAGAGTAAAATAGGATTATAAAGATGACTTTATTCCGACGTTTACAATTACCTCTGACTTTGTGAAAATTGCAAAAGTTAAAATTTATTTGGGCCTGTTCATACGGTTACATTCTTGAAGAAATATTTTTTTCTTCAAATGAAATTTTATGTACTCAATTAGTTCTTTAATTAATGTTAAGTTCAGCTTTTTTGAAATATTGATATCAAATCATAGCTTAAAATAAATTATTTTCCATAAAGGAACCATCTGTCCCAACTCTAAGTGAATATGACTAAAGTAAAGAATTCGTTTTTGATATATGTTGTGTCCCAATTAGAGTAATATAAACAAAAAAAACTAAAATTTGTGAAGATTTGAAAGTAGTTACCCGGGTGTGGGTTACGCATCATGATTACACCAAATGTGAATGTTTCCAGGGTGAGTGAGATGGCTGCGAAGGAAATTTCCATTACAAAAGAAGGATTTGGCCTCAATATGAATTATTTGGCATTGATAAACTCCTGTTATCTCCATTTCATACTAAGATAGAACTTATAAAACAGTCTGTCAATGCCATGAATCCATTTAGAAAAGGGTTTATGTATCTTTCACAAAAAGTTCTTCGTCTTTTGGCAAAAAAACCCAACAAGGGACGGGATCTTTGCCGGTTCCGAAATTAGAGCGCCTCTGAAAGGGCTAGTGCTAAAACATTATTTTGGAGATCAAAACTGATCACAGGAGAAAAAAAGCTTTTGTAAGTCTCAAGGGAAATATGTTTTGGAACGTATGTTATATCCAAAAATAAGTTTTTTCATAAATGTAATAGATATTTATTTGTTTTATTTTATTCTAACTGGAGTGTTCCTAACAACTTTGTTAAAAATCTAGGATAATAATTATAATTTCTTTTGTCTATGAAAAGGCCCAGAGGGTGGAAAAAGTTTTTAAAAATTGAAATTGTCTATAACTTTAAATCTGTGTCTGACAGAAAGAAAATGATTTCAGATATGAATTTAAGAGACAGATTTCCTAACGAATCACGACTGTTGCATCAAGAAAAATGCTTTTCATAAATTTTTGTAGAACAGTAATTGGCGGATTATGAAGGGATCATTACGTTACGATTTTATATGAGTTTTAACAATATTTGAAATAAAATATCATTTAAAATAACGGTCATAATTAAAAATTCGTATTTTTCACTTCGTGCCAGTATTGTAGTCCTTGAACAATATCATTTTCATTTATCATTCTTTCAGTGATGTCGTTTTGAAAGAAAATTCCAAATTAATATCCTGAACAGGAAAATTATATTCTGAGCTCCTGTATGAGTACGTTATATCGAATGACGAATATAATTTTCTAAGATCGGCAAGATGCGGCGATTCAAACTAAGTAATATGTTACATGAAGTATAACCATATAAAATCTATTTCAATATTGTAAAATAATGCAATTTTCTTTTATTATTGTGATAAGAGTGTATCATATTAGGTACATGGTTGCTGTGTCATTTTGTTAAGGCACTGTTTGTATAACCGATGATAATGTCATGTAATGTCTTTTCTAAGTAGTAGCGGTGGGACTTACAATTGAAGTGTTAATTCCAAAATTATTAGAACAATATTTATAATGATTAGCATACTTTACCCGTTTCCTCTTATTTACTTGATTAATGAATGATTTTTGCCTATCATTTCGACAATAATATGCTTTACTAGGCAAACATTTCTGGGTCGTGGACGACCCAGTGAGTGGACTGTATTACAGCCCTGAAGAGGACCGTGATATGATGGTCGAAACGACGTCTCCTCAGCCGTCACCCGGACAGCCCAGATCATGGCTCTGACCGCGGAAGCCTACGACATCATTTGACCTGGTATTGCGTTTTTAATCCCACACTAATTTTAGCAGCACTTATTGAAGCGTTTTTCGTCAGTTTTCTGTGGACTTCTTTTCTCACACAACCGTTTAACTAGAATATTTTCCGCCCCTCCCAGATTTTACACCGACTTTTTCTCTCTCAAACCTGTCAATAATGACCTGAATGGTAAATTTTTATCTTACTATCTTTGAAGATATTTGAGATAGCAATACTCAATAATTATGAGCTCGAATGATAATCCATCGCTCTTAATCTATAGTTCTTTTTAGTTAAAGATCCATTTTATTGATTACTTATTATCACATGGTCTCCATGAGTGGAAGATAGAAACAATATTACTCACACATTAACCCGACTTCTCAATTGCATTACTGATTTTAGAAACGTAAACATTTATATTAAGAAAAATATTACAAAAATATATTTGTACGAATACCATGTACGGAAATGTCGGAATCACTCTTCAATTTTATTTATCAATTTAATGATAAAAAAGTTGAAAACTGTGTGTGGCGTACTAGGGGGACAGACATAAGTCGTGCGCTGAGAGCTCCTCGCGGCTGGGGCGGTGCTCTGCTGTTGGGAGATACCTGGTTGAGGGTAAACCTTATAAGTCGACGGTGGGTCAGCGCTGGATCTCGCCCTTCAGCGGGGAAGACCAACGCCGCCGCCAGATCCAAAACACACTCTACACTTACGGGACTAACGACTAGTAGTTGAGCCCGCATTCACTAACAATTAATCATTATTTAATTCTGGTATCCCTTCCCAAACCCATATGCAAGTTGAATTCAGAATACAGATGGTTATGAATGTTTTTGGCAAAAATCGCAATTTACAACGGAAAATCAGCTATAGATTGGGGCTATTATCCCTCATCGTGCTCTTCTTCAAAGGACTTACTTCCGCGACAACGGGGAGAACAATAATTTAAATAAATATATTTCCCACAACTTTATAACTCTTGGACAGATAGAGGTCCATTTGTGTTCAGAAGCAAATCAAGGGGCCATCAGCATTCGCTCACGGACACTCCGTGTGACTACTCTTTTTACACAATTCTCTCTTGAGAATATTACGAAGGGGAACAATTATACCTTTCTATTGGTTACGTTTTAAATCGGTTTGTTATGCATTATTATGTGTAAAATGTCTACAATGCGTAAAAACTGAGGTGTACGAATGTTTTTTGTTTTTGTACATCTCAGCTACACAAAAAATATTATTTTTACACTTTCAACTTTCAGATTGAAATGTATTTTTCTATCAAACTGTAAACATTGTATCAAACCCTTTTTAATTACAGGAAATGACAGGTTGGTCCTAAAATACAAGCCTGTTGTCACCACCAAACAGTGCGTCATGCGCGCATGTCATTTTCCCTCCCCCCTCCCGTGGCACGCGCGGGTGCGCAGGCAAAAAAGGGGGGACACGTGATTTCAAGGACTTGCCGGGGAAAGCCTCTGTTCCGGAACGGCCAACAATTCCACAAGTGTTCAGTATTCGATGATCCTTTGACCAGCGCGCAAGTCTGCCACCATGGCGAGGGCTTTCTTTGTTGCAGCAACTCTGGTAAGTAGAAAGACCCAAAATATGAACGCACAGATTAAGAAACAACTCGAATAGTATTTAGGAACTTTAAATACAAAGAGACTGATTACAAATATGCTGAAGTTAGAAATACTAATGGATTGTATTTAATAATGTACAGATGTTGATTGGGGCTGCAATGGTTTCTCAGGCTTTCAGCGTGAATAATCTTGGTAAGACGTATTTTTGAAATTGATTATAAACAATATTGTGTACTGTGAAAGTAGTAATGAGCTTGTTCTTTCTCAGAATACCACAGATTGCAGCATTCATCCAGGAGAGTTCAACGCTCAACAGAGAAACACCAGGCGAGTAAAACCATATGCTAGAAGGTCACTTGCAGCTCTTGCAGTGATGAACGGAAAACTGGGTGTTTAAATGTTTTTGTGGATCAGTTTTTAAATTTGTTTTTAACAGTAAACCTGACTGTTTTAGTTTGTGTGCGTCCTTCCAATCAACGAAACGGCAAATAATCCGTACATCCACTGCGGGGTCATAAACGAAACTGAAAGTAAGTACATACTACATTAATCTGCCCAATTATAACAGATGTCATCAAATAGCAAATTACAATAAAAATTAAATATAGGGGCGCTTCATCACATACTTTCTCACATGATTTATAACGGTTACGTAATATTATACTTGTGAAAATTTCGTACACTCCTTAACTCGACTGCATGTTTTCGCGATCAGCGACTGGTTACTTCACACTTCTCATAGGGGGGGGATTTGTAAAATACACATTAATTTGTTAAAATTCAAAAGTTAGAATGAAAATGACACTTGAGCCATATAATTCAATATATTTTCAAAAAAAGTTCAAAGAAAAAATGGAGGCACTTTGGAAAATTACTTTTATGTATTTGATTCATACGATTTGATTGATTCAACGATTTCGTTCAAATTACTAATGAATTTTAAACATTTGATTATATAAAAAACCTTTTTAAACGTAAAATAATGCAATTACCTAGTTTTGTGGAATCCATTGCATCAGGAATGAAAATTTTGCTTCATGAATAAAAGTGTAAAAGAGGTTCGAAAAAATGAATTTTTGGAAATTTCAGAGATTTTAGTTTGTTTGATAAACAAATTTTAAAAAACAGGAGTAATTTATTAGAAAAAAATAAAAACGTCCTAAAAGTTTGAAGTAAAGTACTTTCAAAATTAAAAGGTCCGTTTCGAAAACGTAAAAATTCGAGCTCGGCTAGTTCAGGGTATATTAATTTTTGGGAAAATTCTAATTACGGTTTAGGGTCTTTTGTTGATCACAGACAGATGGGCAGGCGGAGACACTCGAACAATCGTTTTTGAAAAAAAAACACTTTTTCGGTTTCCCGCACCCTCAAAACGTGTATATCTGTCAGAATTTAAAAATATCACTTTTTTGCTGCATTGTATAACTTTTTTATATTACTTACACGAGAAAGTAAAGAGTACAGGAATTCACGTAGAAGCAAAATTTGAAAGTTATGACTTTCAGTGCTCTTTATTGCTATGCATTTCTGTAAATCGTGTAACTTCTCAGAGTTGTTTAAAGTTATTAAAATTAAAGATGATAATAAAACACGACATTCACTTTATAATAGAAATTCATTATAAATGAGATAAATAAAGAAAAATTAGTAAAATTATAAGTGAGGCAGAATGTCGAAATATTGTGAAATTAGTTCAATACTCCTCATGGCTCCATTTTAGGCAGATTTCGGTAGCCGCATGTGTTTACCTTCCCCTACATCAAGGATAGTAGGGTAATCTTAGGGAATGTATAGATGAATAACTGTTGATGGGATGATGTTCAGAAGGGATAAGTAGATGCATGAGGAGCACGCATGGCAGTGCAGTGCATGAGGGTTTTTTGGGGGGGGGGCGGTAAGGATAAAGAAGAGGCTGGAAGGAACGCGTGCGGTCCGTGGTTTATTCGTTGGGGTACTGCTCCGGCATTAGCCAGATGTCGATCGGAGAGACCACGTACAGAGCAGCCGGGCGCTCCAGGCAGCAGCTGACTTCAATCTAGCTGACGAGATAGTGTCGAAAATCCTGCCACAGACGGGACTCGAACCTCAGGACTTCCTGCTCAGATGTAATTAATTAATCAGGCCATGCCCTGGGCCTCCGTTTCCGGTGTTTTAAATATGAAAGTTTGGAACTGTGATGACTCTTCTAGAATTTGCAACATTATATAACTTTCCCGTGTATGTAGTAAACGTAGTAAAAAATTAATATTATTTAGTGAATATTTATTTATACGTTGGGTTAAAATAATTTCAAGTATTGTAATTTGTATCTTATGACAAAAAAAACGTGATAAGTCAGGAAATGTCCGCCTTCCAAAACTACAACGTCTCTACTATATTTCTGTAAATTATACCTTACGTCGAAATATTTGAGAAACGAAACTTTTTACTTTCTTGTATACGTATGTATATACGGAATAATATTCATAGGAAAGAGAAAGTTATATAATGCTGCGGAAAATCGATTTCAACAGATATACACGTTTTGGGGTCCACTTATACAGAAGAAGTCTTTTTCAGCAAGTCCGTATGTGAACAACACAAGCTATTCGTAGGATTTTTTCCAAAATGAATATTCTCGACGGGCTGGCCCGTCTCAAACACTGATGTTGAAAAACATTCTTTGAATTTTGGGAGTACTTTACATGAAGATTCAGGGATATTTTCAAAATTTTCTCAACAATTGCTTGTAATGTCTTGGAAATTGATTGTTCTAACACATAGAGAGTGTGATCAAAATCTTATTATACGTACGGTTTTATTATTTTAAATATTTTAAATTGTTATATTTGATTCTTCTGCAGTCGTAGTAACCGGTTGTTCACGCTCAGTCGTAATTGATGACGTCAAGTAAATATAGAGTAATGTGTAGTACATATCTTAAAAATAAAATAATGTCATGAAGATAATTTAAGTTCAAACATTTATTGTAAAAAAATTTAAGAATTTCAGGAAAAATAATATGTTTCAGCTGAATATTCAATGCCAGTAGATCTCAGCGACCGGTACAGACCAAAGTTCGAATATGCTGTGTTATGCTCCAACTTGACGATTGTGGAAGACGAGGAAGAGGCTGAGGATGGGGATGAGAACGACGACAGCAGTTCCAGCTCGAGCGAGGAGGACACCCACGAGTCAGACAGCGAGGAAAGCGGCGAGGATCAGTGCCTGCGCGGGCCGTACCATGACGTAAGCGCAGCCAATGCGAGGGACCGACGCGTAATACTCACTCATTCGCGCGTAATATCAGTTCTTCTTGTAACTGAAAACCTGATTTCGCATGACTGCAGTAATAAGTTTTTGCGCACTTTCCCTTAGATTGCATTACATTGTGAATTACGTAATGATTTACGACATCTAAACACAATTTTCGAAGAGATAATATCACTTTTCAGTAGGAATAAAAATCTCTCCGAATGATCATTTCGAAAGTTTACTTTGATTCTTTTCTAATTTTATTATCTCCTCGTTCAACTTTTAGGTCGTTCAATGGTTTTTTATACATTTCCTCAATATTACATTATACTAACCGTCGGTAGTTAACTCATTTGTGAAAAATAGCCATTGGCTAAATGATTTAAAATAATGGAATAATTTTACACCTTTCGAAACACTACCTACATATTACTGGGCTGCAGTCCTTATTAGCTTCTGTGCACCCACAGTGAGCCCAAAGGCAAGAGCTAAAGGGCGTTCTCAGCACAGTCGCCGTCCAACACTACATGGTTTATTGGACCGGTCAAAAGTCCATAAAAGGATTGGGTACGCACATGCAAAAACAAAACAAGTCGAGAATTTCCTCAATTATCAACAAGTTTTCAATAAAACTCTAGTTGATTCGTTTTATACGAAAACTATTCGTTTTCCTCATTTCATTTTATACTCGTAAACAAACAGAAAGATAAAGACCAACATCTCAAACAAATTCATCATTAAACTGATAATAGGTAATACCTTTGAGGCATTCATTATCAAAACTTGACAATTATCCACATTAAGGCACGAAATACTTTATTTAAAAAGTCTAAATTTGTATATAGATATAATGACAAAATATGAACGTACGAGACAAAGCTTATTGCGTGCACTCCTAATGAGAATGCTCGGCATAGGGAAACTTTTCTTCCTTTTAGTATTATTACTCAACAACTCATATTTCTTTAAAAAAGCTTGACATCATTTAAAGTTCTAAAACTGAAGGATAAATTACATCCAGAACAAACTCTCTGGCTTTAATATTTGAGATATGCGCCAGGTGAGAAAACTAATTTGAACTTTTGCAATTATCAAAATATCAGAGGTTTAAAATGAAAATCATAACTATACCTTACTTATAAATGCCCTTTACTTTACTCTAGCAAAATTTTTAAAGAAAACTTTTGAAAATATATGTCAAAAAAGTTTGAAAATGTCATAGGAGTTTCATGAAAAGTACTCCCAAAAATTAAAATATTTTAACGATCTGGAACTGTACGACTAGATATCTCTCCCGATGCTTTACCAAGTTTCTGCTCCTCAGCTTCCAATCCGACAGAGTTAGGCGTGACACGTACTTCCATCACTCCTTTCAAACATCGCAATTTTCAGGTTTACAACTGAGAAAATCTCCTCACCACCTGCATCAACTTTATCAATGTTTGGAACAAAACTAATGGATCTTAATACTGAGGTGCGCACGGCGTTTTAGATTAAAATAACCTTAAACGCGAATTTAACCACCGTTAATTAGAGTTTATATTACTGAGGTGATTCTAATAATATACTACTCCGTACGGGAGGAAAAGTAAATGTAGTGGCAATGCGCGGACTAACAAAACTTCCCTTCTTTCCTTACCCAATAATTATTATTAATAATTATAATTAGTCAGATTTTTTATAAAGTGCATGACATAACATAAATATCTACATTTGAATTAAGTTATTAGGAGAAAACATCCAAGCCGCAAGAATCAATACGGTTGAAAAAAGTGTTGGGAAGTAGGGACATATATTAAAATTTCAGGCAGCAAGGATGCATGCAGAAAATTAGATATGTGTGGGATATTGCCGTAGAAAAGTTTTACATATTCACAATATGGAAAATAGACCCTCCCTAAAAAAAGTTTCATGCCGTTTGGTCTTAAGTCTCGAAGACTACATTCTGGAACAATACCATACATAATATAACTTTTTAACACAAAAATACCCGCCGGAGGCGCTACGCCAAGCAGGTAAAAACAGTATACCTAGTAACCTACAGCCACATGTAGATACAGTAAGTCCTACGGTATAATACCTATGTTAAGTCACACGATATACTGTTCAGTGGAAATTGAGCGAGTTAATTCACTCACTCTAAAGATACTTTCCAGAACCATAGATAGATACTAGATAGGTACAAACGTTGGACACAAACGAAGAGTTTTACAATTTACTTGCGCCATAGCATCACTAGCATTAGATGCTACAGATACATGATAAAGCATTGTGTCAATGGCCACAGCCGTAATCGAACTAAAGTTCTCCAACTATTACAAACTAATGACACACATGTAGTATACACTCTCATAAGTTGATCTTAGGAGTTGCAATTAGTACTATGCAAATATTTTATGCGAGTGCATCAACGCATGTTAATGTCACAAATACTAATAACAAAGATAGTTGAAATACCTCAGGACAAAGGATTTACGATAATTATGAACACTGAGTGAAGGCCCATTGCTCGCAGATTGCTAACCCTCGTTGCCCTAGACGGCATGCGCACGTGTTCGTTGGGTTCAAGCCGAGTGCAGCACATACGTAGGTCGGGTCTGGGCTTCGTCACGAGACCACACGCCTTTTCCACACAAGGAGCCTCTGAGCAGCAACGTGCGAAACAGGCCTCACCAACACAGAGCCAGTTGTTGGTGCAGCGCCCCCAACTGCGATTCATTGCGCGGCGAAGCGCAGCGCCGCCAAAGAATTTTAATCCATCTGACCTTTCGCTCTTTTGCAGTGCTCAGTGCAGTGCGTCTACCGAGAGTCCAGTGTGGTAAGTACACAATTCCAATGTTTACGGGAAAATACGTATTCCCTCATAGAGGTCGCCGTTTGATTAACTTCGTTTCTCTCTCGTTTAGAAACTATAGCAAATGGTTCAGTTGTTTGACCTCGTAGGTCTGGGATTGGGCGGTAAACCCTTACATAATCCAGAAAATATTGAGGGAAAGTCTTACCATTCTAACGGATTTCAATTTAATGAAGGATAATATGATCCAATAGCTAATGAGAAGTTCCATCTAATAGAAATTTCAGCAACAGAACTCCAAACTGCAAGTTAATGTCAATATTACCAACGGACAAGTGGACAAGGCAGGATAAAGCCTTTCCGTAGCTCCTGATCATTGTTTTTAACAAGATGCTTAATTTCAAAGCGGCAATCTGATGTTCAGGAATTCAGATAAGAGATAAATTAATGAAATAAACTTCAACTTTACAATTACTTTTAAATAAACGTTACCACGTTAAAATCTTTTCACTAAGACCTTTAACTTCCACATTTTTCTTAAAATGATAACTACATTCAATTTTATTTACAGAACTTAGTAGAGAAATGTTACTATTCTAAAACTGTTGTAGTACAAAGGGATTTAGATAAGATTTGAGATTAGAATAGCTTTCATAAAAAACTACATTATTATTATTATTATTATTATTATTATTACGACACGATTACAAATCTATACCAAAAATATGCTAATGAGTCTTGTTTTCAATCCCAGTTAAATGAAGTCGGACTTCCTGAGCCGGAACCTCTGTTTGAACATGTACTCCAGCTTTTGAATCGCGATGGAGAATTTAAGACCACTGTCAAGGATGCGGTTAAAACTTGTCATAAAAAAATGGTAGACACTGTTCATAAGTATGGTAAGTTTGTAAACGCCGGCCACAAAAATTGGTGTCTTAATTAAAAAAACAACAACTAGGTCTGAGTGTTTGTTACAGATACAAATTACAATACAAATACAAAAAGATTTTTAGAAAATAGACATTACGAGTCTTTGACGGGTCTGTAGTACTCTATCAATTAACTAATTTTGTATTAATGCATTCCATTTAATCTACCTCATAATTGTAAATGCAAGGACTACATTGTTTTTTCTCTCAATATCTCAACTACATTTGAATAATGCTAAGAATAAAAATAATATGACACTTCGATAGAAAAATATATTTTATATAGTCAGACAATAATTTATATTGAATTTAGCATCATTAATTAATAATTTAAATATTTAAATTAATTAATAATTAATATATTATAAAATAAGTGTTTGTAATTTCTTTTACAGGCCTTGAGAGACTGAATCTGTGTCTCTTATTAGAAATAGTTGACGAATGTTTGGAATATGAAATTGGATTGGTAAGTGTGATATTAATTGGATATTAAATATTATTATTATTATTATTATTAGATATTAGATAGTTGTGATTAAACGTTGTTAATGAAATAATCCTGGCGCACAATTCAAAAAATTGTGAAAATGATTTGAACATAAATTATATAATGAATTAATTAAGAATATTTAAGAAAAAATCCCTCCATGTTTAAAAAGTAGAAGTCGTTTCAATTTTAAAATCTAAAAAATTAGTTCTGTCCTAACAATTTAAAACCAATTTCCGTCACTTCTAATCAACCAAAAGTAAGTGAAAATGTACTCATGATACGTATAATTGATTTTATTACAAAGTTCTAATTACTACTTTAAATGTAATAGGATTTCCAATTTAACAAAGGCAGATAACAGGCTCGATTGAATATAACTAATCAAGTTTAAAGATAGAAAAAAATGTTTTCAGGACAGGAAACTAAAATAGAAAAAAATAAAATAAAGAAAGGTGGAAAACTATAGAACACAGTTCTTAGACCCGTACTGCTCATTTTGTTTATTAATGATATTTTCGAATCAAGTAAAATAATTCCTTCTGCTGTTGATGCAGCTACTCATGTTCAGGAAAAGAACTGAAATGGTATTCAAAGAAAAAGAAGAAAATATTAAAACAATTTTCTGCAAAATTTACAACAAATCATTTAACTTATAATTAGGACAAAACAGTATTCCCAATTTAAGGCAGTTATTAGGATAGTACTCAAGAAAACTCTGTACTCAACTTCACAACGGCGGCTCGTGCACGTTTCAGGCGAGGAGGAAAGAAGTCAATGGGCAAAAACTACTTCTAACGAAACATTCAACACATTAAATTGCAGGCGTCGCCATGCAGTGGGACAATAGATAACTCTCGGTTACAGTGCTCCTTCAGCCGAACTTCTACATTCCTCTCGTCGTCAAATAACCCCGCGCCTCGGCTTCTACCTCTGTCGAGCTGATGTGGCTGCAAAATACCTCGCTTGATGGCTGATCACTCAAGGGAGAAATGAAAAACAACGAACCCCTTCGGCCCTAGAAATCCATTCAGAAACTTTTCCTCTTCTAGCCGCAGGAGCGCTGGGCGATATGTAGACATTAACACAGGATAGGAGGGAAAGCTATGGGTTTCTAAGAGCGATTTCGATAGTTTTCGTTTCACTAAAAGGCGCGGGTAATATAGAAATCCTTGCAAAGTAAATTACTTATAGTCATCTACTCAACAGTTATATCTTTTTCAAAAATTAAAGCAAATATTTTATTTGGTTACTTACATTTTGAAGAACATATACGAGGAGGACTTTGTTCCCTTCCCCTGAGAAACTGACACGGAAAATTCTCAGTTAGATTGCGTCGGAGTTTTCTGTTTATACTGAAATTAAAAGAGTAAACATCGTAAACACTTGGTTCTATACATTGATGATAATACAAAATGGGTAGAAAATACGCTTTGTTCTCTTCTATTGCGACATAAGGCATTGAGGATTGCAGTGAAACTTTTAACCGAACTTTACACTCATTGTATACTCTCTTTTTTTAAAGTAGACATTATATCCAATGGAAGAACAGTGTTGGAACAACAAAATTGTAAGCCTTCGTAAGAATTTTATCGAGAAACCGAGCACAAGGAATTATCATAAAAATACAATAAAGAGAAACAAAGTAGAGCTTAGTAAAAAAAAAAAAAGAAATTATCAGGCGGATCTATATTTAAATTCGGTCTATATTTAAGTTTATCAAGTATTTAATAATCTTGATGGATTGAAAACGATGGACGATGATAACTTTCAAGCTAAAAACAGTTGAGGGAATGATTTAGAATACCAAGATTTGGAAAACTGATCCAATACTAAAAGTTATAGATATTTTTATTTTATATGATATTTTTAATTGGTGAAATTATAATGTAAATCTCTTGATTTATTTGATTTTTGTTTTCCATTGTTCATTTTAATACTTTTAGGTATTAAAAATTAAATAAAAATAAAATTAAAGCTACCATTTATTACTCTTCGCTCTCTTGGTAAAACATATTATAAATGATAACTGTTGTGTTTCTGTTCCTCCATACTACTATTGCCTCTTATCAAGAAAGGCAGAAAAAACCGTATTAGTATATTAATTTTTAATTTTATCGAAGATGTGTGTATTATGAAGACTGAAAAATTTTATTAAGTAAAGCATATTATCCATCCACATGAAATAATGAAAATGTACAGAATAAGTAATAATCTCGGCGAGAAGCTCAGGAGTTAACGATACTTATTTAATACGTTCGTTTTGATAATGAAATGAACAAAAACTAAAAGGAAACACTTTCGTCAGTTTAGGCGTCCATTGCGTTATTTCTGTTGCAGCACTGCCCGAAGCGCAGCCGTGTTCCTTACAAGAAGACGTAAATGCAAAACATCACGAAACCAACAATCTGCATTGGGTGTAAGCCTGCATGTTAGTATACAAGAGTCGAGATATTAAAATGACTATGTGCTGCTTCATATTTTGCAGCTCCGTGATCTTATAAATAATAATTACAATTAAACTATAAACTCATGAAGAATCATGTATGTATATAATAAATAGTATGTATTCTTTCATGAAGTGAGCAATTTAATGAAACACGTCGTCAATTAATGTAATACCTTAGAGCTATGGTTATTCTGGTTAATTTCACTTCTAATGTACTTTTAAATAAATAATATGAACACATCCATCCACATTAATAAATGCTTTTATTTCATGTACCATACATTAGTTTCATGAAGTATACCACATAAACCTCACTTACCTTTCGTACCAAGAGAAGATAATGAGCTTTGATTAATCTAACATCGTAATCAGCAAGTTTTAGTTCTTTAGAAATTTGAAACATGGGAATGAAAAATTAATCCTATACAAGTAGCCTGACACAAAGTCCTTCTGCCGCTTTGCAGCTATTTCCAACCCGGTGTCAACTTCATTTCATGACGGTGCCATCTAGTAGGTACGATACAGCTAGGAACAACTAGCATTATTTCATACCACATTTTCAATCACATATGAATATTCACTTTTCTCAATAAAGAATATTTGATAGAACTGTCCTATGAAGATCAAAATGTCTTAGTTATTGTACGTGCAAGTTTTCTTGAGCTCCGTAACACCTGCCCTAACTTCCTTCCTAATATTAGTTGATTTCGGAATGAGAGCAACGAGCGTTGTTGACGAAATCTGATAATCAGAAATGTTTGCTCCTGTGTAATAGAAATTACTTTGCATCGTAAAGCGAGCTACGGATTTGATATAATAGTTGTGTTGACGAAATGACCAACCACCCTACTAGTCTTGCATCTAGTTAAATGAGGGCTCAAGGAAACCTGTGAGGATAATACTACATGCGCGAAGACTCCTCAAGCTCAATTTTGTTGCTTTTCTCCGACGTAGGTCGTAACCTTCGCGAAATATCGCAGGACACACGTCATTAGTGCAAACAATCCTTTCCCGGCCCGATGGTGAGGACGAACAGTAGCCCTCGCGAGCAACATTTAAAGCACAGAGGCCACGCGAAGCGGCGTTCGGCAGGGCTTCCGGCCGAGGCCGAACCAGCGCGAACCAGGCGCGTCCGGCGCGGGCCACGGCGCGTCGCTCGCGTCCAAGGGCGGGGGGCGGGCGGCCGCCGCGCGCGCGCTCGGAGGCGCAGTGAGGCGGAGGAGGCGTCCGGCGCGGCGCGGCGCGTCGCCAGCCACTCGCAGCCATGGCGCTCGGCAACGGCGCGCGTGTGCGGATGCTGGTAAGACTCTGCGGTCGAAGGAGCGGGGGCGGACGAGCAACCGAGCAAGTGCCACTGGGCGCCAGTGAGAAAACATCTCGAAAACTGTATGCAGTTCATTGATACTATAATGTCTAGTTCGAAACTGAAAAATTAAATTTTCCGGATAGTGCTGTGGCTAAATGACATACTCTAGTAACAAATACCAAACGTACACTATTCCTTATGCCAACGGTCCCTGAACATTTTCTACTTAGGAAATAAATAAATTAGTGAACAACTACGCGAATTTGTGAGTAAAAACGATAAATCAGAAACGTTTTCAAAATTTGTTTTATTATTAAACTATTATCCAATCTTATTTTGTTATTAAAACAATCAGTAGTATGACATTTAAAAATAAACATTAAAACAACTAAACTGATAGCTTACTCTACATAAGTATCCATACTAAATTAAATAATAAAGAAAAGAAAACATTCCTTCTAGTAACCAGAACGAAACGGAATTGTCTTGTCAATGTCAATAAATACCAATTGGTTCTTAGCAAAAGTTAAACTTTTTATTTTAAATTGAATAAAAAGCGTTGAATTTGTTTAAAATATATTTTTATTATAAATTTGTGTAGCCACGGTCGACTACTACAGTGCTCACCAACTCGAAGCCTCGCGAATCAAGAAGATTCCACCCCCCAATTCCAGTTCTTATACGAATTTTGGATTCATTAATTTATTGTATCATCATCATGATGTGCAACACGTCAGATGCCAACGAAACGAAAATCAGTAGTCAATTTTGCTCCAATAATAAAGTTTGTTGTTTCTTCCTTTAGTGTTTTCATTGCGGAAAAAGAGCCGAACTCATAAGTACCTTCTTTTGTAGGTCCTCTGTGCACTATTCCACTCTTTCGTTGCAGATGTAATGAACACAGGGAAAACTGAAACATTACTTTCCACAGCAGGTACTTAAAGAAAAATTATGAAAATACAATATTGATAATTCATTATTAACTGACAATAGTGTTTCTTATTAAGGAAGAATACAAACAAGACGGAAGAGGGGAGAGGATCCTGAGGTGAGAGCGATTTATAAGGTATGATACATACAAACATAGCTACTATGTGATAAAAAATGTGATTCGACTACTTCAGGAAGAACAATTCTGCTGCTGGTTTCCGTGGAATGCGACTATGGTGCAGCCATATATCACATGTGGCATACTGGATCGAAGACAAAGTAAGTATTAAGGATGTTACGAAAATACTAAGGAAAATCTTCATGATCCCGTGCAACAAGCTCCTTGAGCAGAAGCAGCAAGGAATTTGAAATTATTCCTTTTCTATGTGTTGTTCAGATTGAACTTGCTCTCTCCCTCTCAAGCGCCTGCTGATAATCCGTTGAGTTATGACACAGGGCAGTGACCTCACAGACTACTTCGATCACAACATCTGCGGAATCCTAAGTGGGTGGATTATATCACTAGTCAGCTGAGACGGGTATAAACAAATGCTATTACCATTTGTGTACCTTCTAAATATCATTGGTTATTTTAGAGATGTTCCCCATAAAACAAGACATTAACAATATTATGTTGAACCATATAAATTTCAGTAGCTGGGTGCGGTCAGCTGCCAAATCCGTTTGGAAGTTTCAAATTAATATCTTTGGGGGGGGGGGAAGTCATTTGACTTACTCACTGATATTCAAAATTGCATTATTAATAAAAATGGCTATTGTGTACATAATTCGTTCATTTTGGTAAGCTCATAAGACACTTTGATGAACAAGCACCTTTTACATGTAACATGACAATCAAGTTACATTTTTTCTTTAAAATAGTTAACAAACCAGTAGACAATTCATGTGTGTTAGATGATATACGAGTATTCCATAATTTAGGTCTCAGACAAATTAATCTCTGTTCCGAATGCAAAAACTCTTCACATATCTGAAGATAATTGCGTCCATAAAAAATAATTTGCCACATGCTTTATTCAACTACTAAATATAAATACACGCCTAATGAATAGAGATACGATGCTGCAGATCCACATTCGAGCTTAAGCATTAAAGACTTAAACAACAACGATCCTGCACACCAGTAGCTCGTGCCTTACCGAACGTTCAATTCGTCTCCCCGAAATTTCACAATGAGTCACTGGAACGAATGCTTAACTTTCTTCCTTTGAATTTATCCAACAATCTCCAACAAATAATACAACAATTCACTTTGTTTTTCACACAACTTTTACTGCCAGTGTCGTGTACTATGTAAATATGTGATACGGTCATGGAAACGATTCACTTAGTCGTTTATTAAATGATCCATGATCTGTTCTTCTACAGTGTGACCTTGAACACCGAGGCCTTACATTTGAATTTAATTTCTGAGGCAACTAGATTTTTTTTGTTCATCACAATGTAGGACATACGTTTTGTTTCTTTTAACGGAAAAGGTGCGTCAAACATTCGCGTAAGTCGCATGGTTTTGTTCCAGAGCGTCCTTGCGGCGTCCCGGTGTACTCGGACGCTGGGGAGCCCAACTTCTCGGAGGCGACATATTGCCGGAACGGGTCAGCCGCTGCCCTCACCACCAGCGCACCCGCGAGCGACGACAGCGAAGAGGACGCCGTCCTCTGCACGGCCGCGCCTTCCGACGATGTGGGTGCCCTCTGCCACCTCCCCTATCTGCGGGTCAAATGTCTGCCTCGTACTTTGGATTCCTTGGAGGAAGAAGAGGCGATTTTGTTTTATCTCTACCAAGTTTATTTCAACACGCCAATGTCATTGAAAGAGTTTCTAGGGAAAATGCGCAATTTCACGATCATCTCAACGGTTTATAATAACATAAACAATCAACAATTATTATTGCCACTAAAATATAGCAAACGGTAAAGAATTTTGTGAGAGGCTTAATAAGAATTTAACATATTTTGCAGAAGTAAAAATTGACTTCATAAGATAATGTGCATAAAACGACTATTTTCTATCGATTGATTGCAACTGCACAAAAAGACCAAACCACAAAACGAGGTGAAGGACAAAAAAGGAAGATAAGCGTTAATTCTATAAATTTTAAGGTATTATTAATATTTAGCGTGTATTCTGTAAAACAGTTTACGAAGAGCAAACGATACCGTATTTAAGGCACACTAACTTACATTTAATGCGAAAATCTCGAAATTTGCCCAAAAGATTTCTAAACGAGAATCCTGACTCAAGTTTTAAATATTAGATTTAGAAATTCGTGACCTTCCGAAACGATGAAGTCAAGATATAAAATGACGTGCGCCAAGTATTTTGCGAATTTGTCTTTTAAGATGCGACATTGTGTATTCCCATCATTATTTAGTTAATAAGAGTTTTTCATATTCTGCTGACATGCATGAAATAATGTGTGGACGAAACGGCTCCCTCAACTCATTTCCATTTTACTGGGTCGGCGCTCATGGGGGCGGACTCACTTTTATTCAATTTCCGCGAACTCCATTTTTATACTCATTTGGTGATGATTTTAGGGCCGATGCCCTTTCTGACGCCAACCTCAGGGGGCACACAAGCATATTACACATAGACACGAAACACACATAACCATGCCTTAGGTGGGATTCGAACCCACAATCCTTCGGTGCGAGATCGCCACGCACGTCTTTCTGACTGCGAAATGTCTCTGTGTCATGCCCAACTCTAGTCAATAGGGAATTTTATCTAAAACTCAGGAGCAAGTGTTACTCCGTTATATGAATTCTCTCACAATATGTTGATTGACAAAATGTGATCACCCTCAAAATTCGCCCTAGAAATTCGTTTATGCGGATTCATCCTGTCTTTTTACCGGCATTGGACCAAACTGGGACATTATACATATTTACAGCCCGTGTTTCGCTATAATCTACATATAACCTTCTCAAGACTGGAACTCCAGTTGTCGTTCGTCTTAGCTAAGTAAAAAGGAGCATAATGTATTTTAGAAATTGCGATTTGAGATTGATTCATTGCCTCCAAGGAATCAATTGTAAAAGCGTACCTTACTGGGTAAGGAAATCAATCACGATCCACTCAAAAAAATATTACTTATGCTATTAAGCCCTTGGTTGCTTTCGATATTAACTTGTCTCTCTCTGAGGTATTATTTTCAACATAATAATCAGTTAACTCTGTTAAACTCAGTCTCCGCGTTCGAAGGGTCGCGAGTCCGAACCCCTCCTCGAGTGTTTGTGAGTTAACTTTTGTACGATGTTTTGATCTACCACACTTGGATTCACCCAAGTGAGGAGAGCGCTTTGTGTCATTGTTGCGAACATCCGAGGAATACCACTGCATGAATTCATAGACACAGACAGCCCGAAAAAGATGATGATGATGATGATGATAATAATAATAATAATGATAATAATTATTATTATAATTATTATAATAATAATTCCAGTAAAATCGACTATTTTCTTCGCTATCTGGGTGACACAATGGCAATCTAGAGGTACATTTCGCCTTTCTGTCGAGTCTGACAGTCGTTCTGGCGTCGAATTCTCGCTCCTTCCCTAATGAGGTCGTATAATGTCGCCGAAATGATAGCAATACCAAGGATGCTATATCACCCGGTCTACCAAGCAAAAATGGTTTTCTGAACTGGCAATGTGAATAGTGCGACTACAAGCATACATTGATGTTTTTTCTGTTTCAGTGCCGCATACGTTGTATATACAGCACTACTGGTGTGGTGAGTAAATTTACCTAATTCGATTCTGTAACGATATAAATATATTTAATAAAATTTAACTCAAGCGGCAAACACGTTATGTAAACTGTATTTGAAATATATATTTACATATTGCGACTTACTGGATATCTATGGTTTTCAGTGAGTATGTATCGATGAATTTAATCTGATTTTCAATGTATACACAATCTATTCTTAGCTCAACTACAAATACCTAGCCCATCTACTAAAACCAGCCAAAGTAATGTATTAATGTACATATTATAATGTATTAATGTATGTGTATTAATGTATATGTATTAACGTATATGTTAATTGAGATCAAAAATAAGTAAAATGTGACCAAGAAATTAACTAGAACTGGACATTCTAAAATGAAAACCAAAAAACAATGAACCACAAGAATGTCGCAAAATAAATGTTACAAAATTCTAGGGTCGTGTACATGGGTTGAAAATTATCACTTTTGGCCAATAAACAAGCACTGGGAAGTTACGTATAATAGAGATATGTGAATTAATATAAAGGCATTTCCACATGATATTTAGGCAACCCCATATGCACATATATTTGGCATGTACACGAAATCTCCTTCGGTGGGTTAGAACGTGACCTGCAAAACATATGTGCATAAGGAGATGCTTGAAAAATCAGAAGAAAATGTCATGTGATTTCATTACATGAAATATCCTATTACATATCTATATTGTCAAAATCTTAACATGTTCGACCCCTAGAAACTTGTACTATTCACTCTGAGCCATCATGTGGTATAAAAATGACGTATCTATTCTAATATCTCGCAAATTTTCTGTATCTATCTAATATCTCGCAAATAGAAAATGGACGGCTAGTCAGAGAACAGAAATTTGCTGTCACGCGTGAGGTTGAAGTTCTTGTGGTGCCCGTGTGATGTGAAGCACACTGATTTTCCATCTGAAGTACTGTGATGTGCTGTTATAGTTGAACGCTCAACGCCGCCCCCGAAAACGAAGGCTTGCAATGCACTGGATAAAGCGCCTTAATTCTACAGCTGGATTCGAAATACCTATTAAACAAGCTGTGGATTTATGTCTCTCATTGCATGACAGACTAATACAGGAAAATGGTATGAGCTTATCATGTACTAAACGACTTATAATTATGTTTACGACTTTAATTATAAAGTAAATATTGGTAGAAGAACGAGTCTTAACGTGTTATGTGCAGCTCAGGGTGAAACAACTTTCTTGTTTGCAGGTGCTGCAAATGTAGATATGTGCGTTCTGCAAACGCAGTTGCATTATTGCATTGAGGAAAACGTAGGAAGGGTAAGCAGTGATGAATACAAGTAAGGGAGACTGTTATACTTCTGATAAAGCGTACCATTGAACATTTTAATTTTTTAAGTCACGTCAGTGCTATCAAGGCGTAGCTACTAACATTAATTTTTTAAGTTTAAGCTATAGGACTCTCGTTTTCTGATTTTAATAAACAGCTCAAATTTTTGATTCTCGGCACTAAAAAGTAATACTTTCTTGTGTTAGTTTATTTTGTGTTTAAGTTCACTTCTTTCATAGCGGAGGTTTTGAATATCAATAATATTGTAATAATAGTACTGAAATTAATGTCACTTTTAACAATACCTATAACGTACACTGTACCAATTGACAGTTAAGCTTATACAATAAACACTGTTCATAAGTAAATGACGGAAATAGTAATAATTTTAGTTTTTTTCCATTGTATTTTTATGTTTTTAAGTAAAACAAAACGTATTGTTATTGTTATTATTATTATTATTATTATTATTATTATTATTATTATTATTATTATGCGTCCGGTAGACGTAAGGGTGATTGGAAAGTTTGGTCCCAGCCGACTGAGACAGAAATTTGCTTTAAGTATGAATAAAAACATCTTAAAACAACAAAAGCAACATCAAGTTACCAAGTTACAAAAACCGAGTGACTGTGAAGGCGATGACTTAAGAATTATAATCTTGCAAGTTAGCAGCAATGAAAATAATAAAGAAATGGATACTGATACTTGAAAAATGTCGTGAAATAGAAAAGTAGCATAAATGTAAAAATTTGGATGTTCAAGAAAGTTACACATTAATTACAACTCACTGAAAAAAAATAATTTAATTTTACGTTATAAATTACAAAGGAAAGGCATGAAGATTTTTCCTTTCACGAATCTAAATTGAACTGTAATGGGCAATAAACAATTTTCCTTAGGTTCTTTATATTCAAATAATACAAATTCACTAGTCAATGAGGTCTTGTTCAATGGTACATTAAAACCATGCACTTGAGAAGAATTTTCCTTTTTCTTTGTATTTAAAATAGGAAAAGTTATACATGCCATTCTTATTAAAGAAATATGAATGTCACTGAATTAAGGTAGTAATCGTACAAACGACTTGATACTGAAAATGCTTCGTTATATAATGTTTTGAAAACATTTATAATTTTTTAAAAAGTTATTACTACTTAAAAATATTTAAAATGTTAAAAAGTATAACAGTCGCTCATACTTAAAAATTAACAAGTACTTAATTTTACAGATAATAACATCAAGTATTTTTATTTAAAATTTATTATAAATTTTAATTTTTTAAACAAAATGCATCTATTGCAGTATTGCCCTCGCCGATTCAGAACACGAATGGTCGTCGACGAAGTTTGTGAAGAAACCTGAAATAATCATGATATATTTTGACTATGTTCACAACATTCACAAAAAAATAAATATGCTTTACTTGAGTAAGACTATTCTCTTCAAAACCACCTCGCTTCCCCAAAAAATCACGTAACTCTACCGATAAATAGTAATATTTCGTGTTTTTTAACAATCTCACCTTTCTACGTACTTGCTCCCAAAGAAGTATTGTAACGTTGAGGCAAAAATCTCATATTTCGACAGAAGAAGCCTTAAAAATGGCAGTTGCTTCATGTTCAAGAAACTCTGCATTTTCGAAATTGGCAAAGGTTATTGTTTCAATATTGCCCACATTGCACACACAATTAGGGGGAGATTCTTTTACCTCCTCACTACAATAAAGTATGTTTGATTAGTGATTACTACGCGTGAACTGTTTAGGTCATTATTCGCCTAAGTATAGTGCATGTATTATCGCGGGAGGTGCGGCGATCTTCCCCTACTGGATGGCGAGGTCCCGCGCTACCCTTCGGATTGTGTTTTTTTGTCAGCCGGGACGAGCCTGAAGCTCCCGACATATCGGGAGCGGCAGTGCATGCAAGTGTATGTGTAATTAAGCGGCGAGGATAAGATAAGGAAGAGGAGGGAAAGATCGCGCGCGGTCCGTGGCCCGTTTGTTAGAGAACTGCTCTAGCACTCGCCTAATGTTGGGCATAGAAGCCACAGAAAACTACCGATCAAAACTGCCGATCGTTAAAATTCTCCTCCAGACAGCGACTGAATTCGACCTAGCTAAGTAGCTGTGTCGAGAATCCTGCCAACGTACAGACTCGAACCGAAGGACCTCCCGGTCACAGGGCATGACATCAGTGGATGTCCAGAGCCACCTAAACCGGTTACAAAAATGAAATCGGTTCATCGAAAGCAGGTCTTCAAAGAAGGTCACGTTTATATATGTGAATAGTTTTGTGTAATTTTACGGGAATATTTAAATTTCAAACTAACATTTTCTCAAAGATAATTCAAAATGTTTTCTTTTAATTCTTTGGTTGTATGTGGGAAAGTACAGTAAACAAAGTGATGTTCAGCGATTACTCTGCATTTTCGAAAATTGCGAAAAATACGCAGTTGCAAATTCGAAAGGCTCCCACAGATTGGCAGCGTTTTCTTACCAGCGAATTTGGGATCGCAGTTGGACGCGTTTCGACCGCTGCCGCTCGAGTTTTGTGGAAGTCCGCTTGCCATCGGGAGCATTCGCTCCCCTTGCTTTTGTTTATCGGATGAGGAAAACTGTCCCCAAACGATGAGTCATAATTGACGCTCGGGGGTGAACGGGTCCGCGGATTCTGCCGCCGCGTCTAGCACGGAACGTCCGCGACGCACCCACTGCGAATCTCCCGCGCCGGCCTGTGACTGAACTGCCCGCGCATTGTTCGACGGGCGGAGAGTTTTGACGACAGTTTAAAATTCTCAGTATTCTTCTCATTGTTGGCGGCCGACAAGAGTAGAACGATAAGGATCTGTTTTTTAAATTTATTTTTATCTGTTCGGCCTGGTGGTCTTACAGAGCTGGGATTAGATATACACAATTAGTCATAAAGACGGGGGGGGAGTCTGTTGGGAGTATTGGCTTGTTGGCCAATGTGAAAAAAGGAAACGCTGGGGCAGGATGGAAAAGTGAATAAAATTTAGAGGATAAGCTTATTAAATAATCAGAGATATAAGTACTTGAAGTATATAAGTATTTGAAGTACTCTATGAATTTGGCTGTTAGGAACAAACAAGGGTACATTAAGAAGTCTGTGCAGGCATTTATTTTGAAAAACTTGGATTGTGTGAGTATTGCTAGGTAATTTTCCTTGTTTTTGAAGTTTTGCATTGTGAGTAGTGGTGTTTTCCTGCACATCTCACACATCCTGGGCTCAGCCTAGTTAGCTTGATTATGACCATAAATTTAACACTTTATATTGTATAGGACCTATGGTATTATTTATGATATTTACTCTGATTTTACAATAGTATAAATCTTTGAGATTTACGATTGTTCTAGCTCTTTCATTGTCTATTAACTCTATTGCTATTACGGCCTCGGGTGCCTTGACTTTACTACAAAATCTTGAGCACTTTTTGACTGAGTAGTTTCGAGAGATCAGTTCATTACTGAAGTCTTTTTCTGATAGGTACGTCTTTAATAATTACTGATAACATTTCAATAACGACATCTCTATACGTGTGATACTGAATGTTTCACTAACGCAAACATGTCTTAAGTTGTGGAAATGACTAATATTTTGGAACATAATTTTAATATTGTTGTTTTCAGTTTTGGTGTCAAAAGTACCTTTGGTCACACTTTTTATGTCATTCATAAGTCGACTGTAATTGTCGGCTATATTAACTATTGTGGGTGGTATTTTAGTGGTTGGGTTTGATTTACACTAATGTTGGGGTTTGAACGTTTGTTTGTTCTTCATGAGTAAGTATTTTGTATCGATTTCCAGTTGGCACATTATAGTATGGGGTTTCTCTGTCACTAAGGTATCTTTTTCGTTCTTTGGAAACATCGGCGTTTATGGGTGGATTGGCACTAGTACTTACATTATTTGTTAAATTCTCGTTGCTCGCCGTCCTAAGTAGCAGGAGGTGCTGGTTGAGTGGCAAGTTGTTGTGATTGAAGGAGACATTACTGCATTTGTAGATTGTTGCAGTTGTTGATGCTGTAGTAAAAGTTGTTGATATTGTTGTTTTTGTAACTGAAGATATGGCTGTTGTTGCTGGACAAAGTTGTGATAGTCAATTATAGTTCCACCGGAATTTAGTGTGTTGAGCGCACAAAATATTAGCGCACTAGTTGTAAAGTTTTCGTCTTCCAATTCACACTTCTCCATTACGGAGAACAGTCACCGGTTTAGAAGGTAACACAGCTTTCACTAAATAATAAAGTAGTAGTTATTTAGCAAAAAGTGACAAAGGTCTGCTGCAATCAGCCGCAGTGCGGCCCATTCGGTCACTTGACTTTGTGCGGTGTAGATTCAAAGTCACTGAATACTAAAGAACACATGGCACTGCGACAGGAAGTGAGGTTAGCGCTGCGATAAGAGGAGCGAAGAGATCGCCCCGCAGCTAAAGCGAACTGTCGATGCGGATCCTTTATTTTTTATGCTTCATTTTTCAGTGTCTCTACAATCAATAAAATTGTCCCTTCAACTACGAGTATATTATGTTCAGGAAGAATGAAATTAACGTTTCTTTCATTTGAAGAAAAAAGTAATGACTACTGTTTCTGACTATCAAAATAAATGCAGATATGCACTACAAGTGCTTCATTTGAATTTGTTAGGACTTTAAGTTATAACTGACGTGGTGTTAGTAACTTTCTCGTACACATACGTATGCACAGAGAAAAACACATAGTCTAGGGGAAGTTATGCTATACTGAGGAAAACCGATTTTGAGATTTTGAAAAACGTTTTTTAATTTTTCAGGCAAAGCACTTTACTTTGACATATTAAAAAATTTCTCAAAAATAGCTTCGGAGATTTCTTTAAATTTCTTCTAAGAATAGAGCGAAATGCACTTTCCGATTTTTAATGTTAACTCTGTATTTTCGAAAATTCCAAGAGATTGGGTTTAATTATGACTATTTAAATAAGTATCTAGAAGCGAACGAAAAACATTGATAAGTCAGAAAATTTTGAACTTTCAAAACTAGGTGTCTCCTATGTTTCTGTCAATCGCACTTTACGCTGAAATATTCGATAGAAATTTTCAAAATAAAATATGCTGTTAAAATAGTTTATATTAATTTCATGCAATTCGGGTTTGTGGTTAACGCCTATTCAACTTCCTTTCAAAGCATCGGGAAGGTCATTAGGACTAATATATTTGCTACGATGAGAAAAATTCTTATTTGCAGATAACAGGCAATATGTGCAAATTTGCACCTCCATGCTGCGTACAGACATTTGGTGAAAAACGCCCCAAGTAGTTATTCAATTTACTGCATCGTGGACGTTCATTACATTTCTGAACACCCGACTCACTGAACCTAGAATCAGTTGAATCTAATATTTCCCAGTTCCATCAAACATGTTCATTTCAACTATGCTGACATTCTTGGGAGTTTTTTTTTTATTTTATCTCAGTTTACAGTGAATATACTCATAGCTTACTCAACCTTTCTACGTGAATTCGAATCCCAGCTTGGGCATTTTGCGCGTGGAAAACACTTGTGCACATTTCAGTAGTGTAATAATATTCGGCAACCGATTCGGATTATGCGAGAAAAAACGGACTGTTTTCGCGCCTCTAGCTCTACCTTAGGCTGGCAAGTGATGCGATTGCGCAGGAGAGGCACTCGGGCGAGGTGCTTCGCGTTGGCTTCCTTGCCACGTTCGAACCCACACCCTCAACAAATTGGCTACTGCCGTCACTGACGGCTTTTTACAGATCGGTTGAAACACGCTGAGACTTTTTTGGAAGAATGTAGAAAATTTCGTAAATTAATTCTTATATTAATACTTATTTATTCCTATACACGATATTATTTTAGGATTTCCGTGAAAATGTTTTTATAACTAGGATATATGAAAATAATTTTTTGATTTTCCAAGACAAACTCGGTATCAGTATAAATATTACCCGTATATACGTTTTAAATACACATGATTATACATTTTGTAAGCATAGTTAGTTTAACATACTAGATATACGCGCAGGCAAAGAAAGGCTAAAAGCTTAGAAAATTCTGGCTCGCTCATTTTCCTGCAGATAGAGCTATAAAATAGGTGTAGGTTCCTGCAGGCCATGGATATATTATCCTTCTACGAGTATTGTAAACTATGAAACAATACGTTTGGCCTTTGTTCATATCGTTTGAGTGGATTTGGTTTCTTCATAACATTCACTTTCCGGGTTATGACAAAGCAAATGTTAATGTCATTAGATTGCGTAAGAATATTTTGTCTTCGTTGAATTTGCACACTGTAAAGTCTCTCACGTAGGCGATACATGTGTAAAGATGTTTTAAGCTCCGTGCTTGAGTTTCATTATCAGACTCTGGTGTGCCGACAGCTGTGTGCCGAAGTTCGATAAAATATGATTTCTTGCATTGCACTAAGCCCCACTATCTTCATTCTTGAAAATTCTCTCCAGACTCTCACACCCATTGCAATTTGCATTTTTACAATAATCTGGAATATCTAAAATTGCAAATATTCACATTTTTGCGTCGGGAGTGTGTAATCAGCACTGGTGATAAAACGGATAATACAAATGATGGCAGAGCATATGCGCTCATGTTTAAATTCGTATCCGGTTAAGAATTTTTGCGGCCTGAAAACATTTTTGCGGGTCCAATTAGAATGATGTTTCATAATCTTTACCAATAATACAAGAAAGTGTTCTGAAACAGAAACCAGCAGTTTCTGTTTCAGTGATGTGTTACTACCTTCGAATTCCGTGACGATCAATCATGTTCTGAAGATTGCCTCTATTTTCTGCAATGCGGAGAAACCGTCCCGACCACAGTCCAATATTTCTGTCAAGATATTCTTCTCTTCCCATCTATCTTTCCTTTCAAGCTTAGATGTAAATGTACGGCTTGTCCTCCCCTCTTAAGATGTTACTTCTCTATATGTACGTAAATTCAGAGGTTAGTTCAAATTCAGTAGTTCAGCGGGAGAGCAGGCCCTATGGCCTGAGCCTCGCCAATAATAAAGGTATTATTATTATTATTATTATTATTATTATTATTATTATTATTATTATTATTATCATCATCATCGTTGGTATTTTTCCTCACCGAACCAGAATTCTCGTTTCCCCCTTTTTAGGTGCAGTTCATCTGTATCAAATATGCCTGGTTTCTCTTCATCTGACGTTTTTAATCCAGGAAATTCATAAGAATATTCTGTTTCTTACATACAATACTTTTGTATTCCTTCAAACACAACTTTTCGATTGCATTGTATTAATTCTAGTAGGTCCGATTTCGGCAATAAACTTGTTTGCTGTTTTCCTTCCCCGCAAATAAAAGATGAATATAGCGGATGTGGCGACGCACTTGTTTGTTTGCCCGCCATGTCATGATGCGTTGGCTCCCACCCAAAGTGCCACGTGCCGCGTGCAAGGCGACGGTGCGACCGTCTGTCAGCCACGCAGTGCCACCGGGCTTCGCGTCTCAGGAGGAGAGCGTTGGTTGGCGCCAGAACGGGCGGAGGCGAAGCGACACTGTCTGCGCATGGGCTATGTCTGTCGAGAAGTGCTGGCTTTAGCCTACGGGGTCCCCAGTTCGACGACCGGCAAGGTAGTTCAGCGAACCGAAGTTCATACGATGCTAGAACCGCGTGAAGTAACCACTCTCTGGTGCAATTATACAAACTGCTCGTTGACCGTTCCCTAGCCTGCAGTGACAACTTTGGAAAACATTTTAACAAAGAAATGCATGAAATAAAATAAGATTGATGCCGGTGTGGAAACAAACAGAATTAATGTTTTTTTACAATATAGATTCGTATTAATTCACACGGAATCTGGAACAAAATCCTACAATATGTTTTAATTTATTAAACTTTTTAATAGTTGCCTATGATACCGAGCAGACATACGCAAATAAACATGGCATTGATAAACATTCATCCGTTACACAGCATCGGGCAATTTTTTTTGTGAAATATGAAATCTTATGTAAAACTAAGACTCATACTTTATAAACAAAATAATTATAACTATTATTTAATTATTCAATATACATAATAAATGTCATGATGGAGGCAATTTATCAATAAATTATAACTCCTTTTTGCAACAAAATTACTGAACTGTAATTGTATTATCAAAATATTGAAATGGACTTGTTCAAGGATCGTAATGTAACTTCCCATTCAAAACATTGGTATTACTGACAAAAAAGTTAACTGCGAGAACAGTTCAGTGATGAGTCAGCAATGTCGCATTGACGAGGCAAAACTACCGTCAAACAAAGAAACAGAATTGAGGGAGGATATGATGCAACAGTACCCCCTGAAATTCTAAAAGTACACGTCTTTAATGAGAAACAAATATGCATCGTGAGAACGAGAAGTGTACGTGTGTGTATGTGTGTGCGCGTGCGCGTGGGTATATAGGTCTGAGAGAATATCAGAAGAAATTGAATAGTGGTGTTCCTGTTTTTATCAAAATCAGAACCCATATTTCGACTAATAGTTCAAACACGTCTTACATTTCCATTATCCGACTTTGGAAATGAAAGCTACACTGAAAATAAAATTAAGAGAACTGTTCTCTGTGAGAATTACCTTCCGCAAGCGGAACCTTGGACATGCCCTCTCCGCAAAAGAACGGGAAGTGAATTCGGGGAAGGCATTTCGCAGTGCCTGGGGGTTCGCGAAGCGTGTGCCGAGATGGCTCGTAGACGAAGGCGCGGTCACCGCTGGCATTGCCGCCCGATATCTGTGGCTCGAACGCTGCGTGCTCCTACGCCGTTTGTATTCTGCACCGAGTCTCCACGTGAGAAGCTTTATAGGAAAAGGGTCGCGAAAGCAGCCACTACCAAGGTCAAAAGCTCTCATTTCCGAGATTCTGCAAGAATTTCCATCATATAACCCACTCAGAGATGAGAACGAAAACACGACAATGAATGACAGGAAATTCCAATCGTTATATGTAGTGCCTCAATGTGCATGCAATGAACTCTGAAATTGAATCTACAATTTGACTTGTAAAGTATCCACGGCTTTTGTTCTGTACTGCAGGAGAAGCGCTATTCGTATCTACACTGTTTGGAGGTAGTTTTCACTTGTG